TTTACGCGTGCGTGATCATATTTATAAACCAGACTTTAAAAAAAAAAAAAAATCAATTCAAATACCGGGGATCTTTATTGCATGAAAGAAATGAATTGCTAACAGAAATAAAAGAGAGAATATCGTCCGGAAACAGGGCATACCTCGGTTGTAAGAAAATACTCAACCGTAAAAACATTACCAGAAAAACAAAGCAAACGTTCAGGCATGGGAAAGGAAAGCATCATGGTTAGGTCTGAGTGGAAGGAAGTGGTGAGGCAAGAACTACGACATGGGCCGTAGCGCCACAGGGATGGGTGGTTGGAGGGGTGGTCACATTCAGGTTTGTCGGAGCGAGAGTCGGTGGTGGTGAGGCTTATAGACACCACAGGGAAGAACAATCACTAACCGCAGTTCAACACTCGACTGTAAGCCGGACAAAAATCGAAGTGCGCACGAAAGAGTCAATTTTTAATCGCCCGGCCGTTCATTCAAAGCGGCTCCGACAAAGATATACCCAGTGATCAAGCAGCTCACATTGTATATGCTATAAAGGTCATAGATACTCGGTCATCATACATTACAATGAATCCTCGAATTTAAGGTTTCTCCTCCCCCCCCATCCCAACCCCCCCCCCCTTTTTTTTCTTTCTTCTTTTTTCGGGAAAACGGCCTAAATGTGTCGGAGTCAAGACAACCAACCAAAGTAAAGAGTCAATTTTTAATCGCCCGGCCGTTCATTCAAAGCGGCTCCGACAAAAATATACCCAGTGATCAAGCAGCTCACATTGTATATGCTATAAAGGTCATAGATACTCGGTCATCATACATTACAATGAATCCTCGAATTTAAGGTTTCTCCTCCCCCCCCCATCCCAACCCCCCCCCCCTTTTTTTTCTTTCTTCTTTTTTCGGGAAAACGGCCTAAATGTGTCGGAGTCAAGACAACCAACCAAAGGAAAGTGGCCTTCGGATTAAATGATGATCCACGATCTTGGGGAAAATCCGAGATCGCCTTTCTAACAAAAATTGCCCGGACTCTGTTCGAAATGACAATGATACACTCAAGAACATAACAGCTACCACACAATGATGCACTCAAGAACATAACAGCTACCACACAATGATACACTCAAGAACATAACATCTATTCTGACCACATTATGATACTCTCAAGAACATTACAGCTACCACACAATGATACACTCAAGAACATTACAGTTACCACACTATGATACACTCAAGAACATTACAGCTATTCCGACCACACCATGATACACTCAAGAACATAACAGCTATTCCGACCACACCATGATTCACTCAAGAACATAACAGCTATTCTGACCACACAATGATACACTCAAGAACATTACAGCTATTCTGACCACATTATGATACTCTCAAGAGCATAACAGCTATTATGACCACACAATGATTCATTTAAGAACACAACAGCTATTCTGACCACACAAGGATTCACTCAAGAGCCTAACAGGCATTCTGGCCACACAATGATTCATAGAACGCGCATTGCAGCAGACCAATTTCAAAGGAAACAACAAAACAAAAAATCGGAAAGGTACTTTCAAGGATGAAACAAATATGTGCTTTGCCATCAAAACAAATCGCCATTCATTTGGATCCAAAGCAGGCCTGCAGAACATGCGGCCCAGGAAGCATCCACTTTGTGGCCCAGTAAGCATCCACTTTGCGGCCCAGTAAGCAACCACTTTGTGGCCCGCGAAGTAACAAAATATTCTTTATTATTATTTTCTCAATATCCCCCCCCCTACCCCGGGTCCTATTTTCTTTCGGCCCGCACTATTTTTTTATAAAGTATTATGGCCTGCCTTACCTTTTGAGTTGTGCAGGCCTGATCTAAAGCATCTTATTAATCTCATCTTAACGTTATTTCTATAGATTATCCGACAAAATGAATTCAAGAATACTTAAACAATCCTTAAAAGTCAAGTTGTTCGTAAAAATCCTTTATAAAATGTAAAATCGAGGAATGGTGGGGTGGTGGTGGTGGTGGTGGGGGGGGGGGGGG